CTTATAACTGCCTAAACTTTCTTTAAACAGTTTATTAAAGTCATTTAAAGTCCTAAATTTTCTTTAAACAGTTTATTAAAGTCATTTAAAGTCCTAAACTTTCTTTAAACAGTCTATTAAATTCATTTAAAGCCCTAAACTTTCTTTAAACAGTCTATTAAATTCATTTGAAGCCCTAAAATTTCTTTAAACAGTCTATTAAATTTATTTAAAGCCCTAAACTTTATTTAAACAGTTTATTAAAGTCATTTAAAGCCCTAAACTTTCTTTAAACAGTTTATTAAAGTCATTTAAAGCTTGTATAAACACAGTCTCTCATTCTGTTTAATTGAATAGGCACAAGCGTAATCTATTTGAGTGACCCCCTATTGGAGAAAGAATATTGACTAGAATTCCAACGTGTATCTACACGAAATGTGGCAAGCTTTTAGTGAAATTCACATGCTTGTTGTGTACAAAAAAATCTGATATGTTACAACAAACATACCTGATTCACAGATATGTCTTGTTCTCAAGATATATCTGTGACTTGGCAATATTTGTCTCACTTAAATAAGTCAGAGTGTAAACTCGTGTTTGTGTGAATAATAAAAATACTTTTGTCCATTCTGCAGTTTGTATATTGAATTTGCATAGCCTCTACAACTTCTGAAATGCATATCTACAGTTTATTCTTTTTTTCAGTACCCCTATATATTGAATCTGATATTTACTCTTTTTTTTTTTATCAGGGTATTTCACTAAATCATCAATATAGAGTAAAATTAATGTTTATAACACTGACATCATAACACTATGTGGAATGGCACTTGGTAAAAGGTCATAGCAGGGTTAACTGGAACTTGTTGTATGCAAACATCACTTTTCTTTCCTTAAACCTGTTCCACTGGTTTATCTGGACATATCCTAATCTTGTTTAATCCTTATATCCTGCTTAAAGTTTCCTGAATGAACCTAACACAGAAAACCTGAGAGAGTTTTATTTGCATAGTTGACCAGGATTACTTAGTCTGTTTATTTAGATTAATACACATTCTTAAATAGTTTTTCTGTTAATTTATTTTTTACGTGTTGTGAGAGACATGGGCATTCACAGAAATATTTTTGGGGGAGCAAAACATGTATGTAGGTGATCAGCTTTTACAGTGTAAGTCAACTGACTAAAAGAATGTGTGCTTAGACACAAATACAAATTTACAGTTTTAATAAAAATTACTAAAATATGTAGTTTAACTACAATATTAAGTTTACACGATAATATGTGCGATTTTTTGTGAAATGTATGTGTGGGGTATATGCCCCCCTTTTGCCCCATGATGAGAGATGTAACAACTCATTGTTTTGCTTTTTTTTTCCTTATAGGTAATTTGTGCAACATGCCGATGGAGGACTTCATTGTGTTCTAGTTGGGTTCAGTGGAGTAAGGTGGGAAAGCTTGGGGATTCTTGCAGGAGACTGAGTACTGGGAGTGATCTTCCAAAAGGAAAGAAATCAACAGGGAAAGGGAAAGGAGTAAAGCTTTAATTTTATCTTTATTTATGTGTAATTATTTTACAAAGATATGTGATGATTTTTCGGTTATTCTAGTCACAGGCACGTGTTTGTGTGTATGCTACTTCTTTATATATGGATATCATTGTTTTTAATGTTTCATGAAAGTATTAGAGTGCATGAATAATAAAACTAAACTAGAAATCAAGATTTTGTATTTAGAAATTTTCTCTGACAATAGGGAAAGATAAGCTAATATTACAGTATATTTTAGAAAAACCGTTTATATACAATTAATCAGTTCCATTGTTAAAACTTGTTGGAATAGAGCTTTTACTAGATAAAGAGGTCTGACTGAATTAATGTATTTGAAAGAGAAGAAGTAATGTGTGTAGGTGGTGTCGATGCAGTAATGAGATGGTTACTCCTGATAATGTGTGTAGGTGGCGTCGATACAGTAACGAGGTGGTTACTCCTGATAATGTATGTAGGTGGCTTTGATACAGTAATGAGGTGGTTACTTCTGATAATGTGTGTAGGTTACACTGATACAGTAACGAGGTGGTTACTTCTGATAATGTATGTAGGTGCTATCGATGCAGTAACGAGGTGGTTACTCCTGATAATGTGTGTAGGTGGCATCGATGCAGTAATGAGGTGGTTACTCCTGATAATGTATGTAGGTGCTATCGATACAGTAACGAGGTGGTTACTCCTGATGATGTGTGTAGGTGGCATCGATGCAGTAATGAGGTGGCTACTTATGATCTGTCAGTGGACAATGATAATTTGAATCTTGTGAAATCAGTAAAAGTTACCAAATAGCTGTAGTTTTGTATGTAGTGGTAATCTGTAGTTAGCTTCTAACTTTATGTTGAATGAGCATGTCAGACAGTACTTTCTCTTGTGTCTTGGTTTGTTGACACCATCTTTGTTTGCTTTTCTGTAGTTAGCTTCTAACTTTATGTTGAATGAGCATGTCAGACAGTACTTTCTCTTGTGTCTTGGTTTGTTGACACCATCTTTGTTTGCTTTTTTTCTCACCTTGGAGACACTTATCTCATGTGCCAGCTCCATGATATCTACCTGTTATTGGATTTAACCTTCTCGTGTAGTAGATCAAGTTCTTTAAATGTTGTTTATACTGTAATCTAATTCATAGAAGTTATCATATATTCTTACAAGCTGTATATTTTTTACTTAACTCATTTGTATAAATTGGCTAAGATGTTAGTAAGTAAATACCTTTAACTTCAGCCTAAGATGTTATTAAGTAAATACTTTTAACTTCAGCCTAAGATGTTATTAAGTAAATACCTTTAACTTCAGCCTAAGATGTTATTAAGTAAATACCTTTAACTTCAGCCTAAGATGTTAGTAAGTAAATACCTTTAACTTCAGCCTAAGATGTTATTAAGTAAATACCTTTAACTTCAGCCTAAGATGTTAGTAAGTAAATACCTTTAACTTCAGCCTAAGATGTTATTAAGTAAATACCTTTAACTTCTGTCTAAGATGTTATTAAGTAAATACCTTTAACTTCAGCCTAAGATGTTATTAAGTAAATACCTTTAACTTCAGCCTAAGATGTTATTAAGTAAATACTTTTAACTTCAGCCTAAGATGTTATTAAGTAAATACCTTTAACTTCAGCCTAAGATGTTATTAAGTAAATACCTTTAACTTCAGCCAACACGTTGCAGATTTATATTTATGTGGACTTGGATTTTCATTTATAAACAAGCTTAGTAAGAAAGACTTTAATGTAATTAAATAAACTTTGGGGCTAACTCCATAGTGAATGCAGTCTGTCTGGCTAATTTGTAAAGTCTTCAACAGGTTAAAGACAATTTGAAATTGAATGTTATGTTAAATACATAATGTGTAAAAACTGACCATGTCATCATTGATTTAGTTGCAAAGAATAACTGCTGTGGTATAAAATTGAGATTATTTTTACCAAATGCCACAAGAAGAAGACTGAAGGAAGACATTTACTTTAAAAAAATGAATTTTGGACTAAAACATGGCTTGAAGTGTGTCTGTGGTAGAGAATGCACATCAATTTCTGTTGTTTTCCATTGCTTCTTTTTTCAAGAGAAAACAGTTTCAGAGATCTTAACCTCTCTTGTATGGCAATCTCTCCATCCTGGGCATCATTCTAGTAGCCTTACTCTGAACCCTTTCCAACAATTCAATGTCCTTCTTAAGGTAAAGAGCCCAAGACTGAACACAACACTCCAAATGTGGCCTAACCAGTGACCTATACAATGAAATTATACCCTCTTTAGACTTTATTCAATATTTCTGTAGGTACAACCTAAAATCCTCTTTGCCCTACCACCAGCAACATCACATTGCTTGGATGCTTAAGAGACTGATCAACCATTACACCAAGATCCTTTTCTTTTGTAACACTAAATTGCATCAAATTACAATTACTAGCAGAATTGACGACTTATGGGTGGCTGTTTGTGCTAGTCATTACTAAACATAGTATTCAGACCTAACTGTAAAAAAAAAGTGAACATTTTCTTAAAAAAATAGTGTTTGGATTGTGCTCCAATCATGTTCATTTTGAGCCATCTTCCTCAGCTTCTCAAGTCTTTGATCTTCCAATTCTGCTGCTCTTTTTGTCTTCACATATTGTGACATTTTTGTTAGCTTGTCTTCTTCTTTTTTAGAAATTCTTGAGTCCATTGTTCCTTTTGCTTTCTTGCTCGCTTTCTCCTTTCATCACCATCTTTATACTTTTTGGCCTTCCCATCTTGGATGGTGTTCTTTGGATCCTCTTCTTATAAGTCTAACATACACCCTAAGAATACAGAAAAGTCTTTAAACATTTAACATTTTATCTCTGCATCAATATTTTCAATATGTTGATGATTAAAGATTTTTCTGTCGTTTTGGTTACATACATAGATACTGACTTATATGCTACGTCCATTATAGTGAGATAATCCAAATTATGATAACCCACATGCATTTGCTTGGATTTATTATAATTAAAATCCATTTTACATATCACTAAATGATCTAAATCCTTTTGTAAATCAGCAGCATCCTCTTCACAGCTAGCAACACCCAAGACCTTAAAATCATTTGCAAATTTAAGTAATTTATTGACTATTCCTTCATCTATGTTATTGATGTAAATCAAAAAAAGCAAAGGTCCTAAGACTGAGCCCTGAGGTACCCCACTTGTAACATTTAATCCAGTTTGACTGAACTCCATTTATAACAACCGGCTACTTTCTTTCATCCAGCCACTCTTCTATCCAGTTATTTAACTTATCCCCCACACCTATAAAGATAATTTTTTTTTGCAAGCCTTTTATGTGGTACCTTGTCAAAGGCTTTGACAAAATCCAGATACACCAAATCTACACCCTTACCCTTATCTACATCAGCAGTAACCTTCTTTTCAAAGATTGTTAAAAGATTTTTAAGGCAAGGTTTTCCCTCAGTGAAACCATGTTGACTATCCAATAAAATTCTAAGCTTTGTTAAATAACTTTGCAAAGCATCTTTTAACAGACTTTCCTGAATGTTTTCCCACAACTGATGTAAGACTAATGACTATAATTACTGTACAATTTTT